TTTGCGAGATATGTTAGTATAGGGATGGCAATTAAATTATCTGGAACAGTAGCTTTAGAGCTACTGTAATAGATTTAAAGCGCAATCCACCTCATCCGTAACCAAGGTAGCTGAAGTCATTGGTTAACGATGCAACTGGTCGGGTTTGCAAACTGCGGCGTTCGGAAAAACTTAGCTACCGCTCTGTTAACCAAAGCACCCTCCAACACCCAGAGACACAGCAGGAGGTAACAGATCCGGCGAAGAAAGCAGACATCTTCCGAGATACCTTCTTCCCAGTACCACCGGGGGCAGATCTGGAGGACATAAGAAACGCACACTACGACAATCAGGTGGACATGCCGCCAGTGACAGAGAAAGAGGTGAGAGATGCCATACGGGCAGCATCACCACTCAAAGCACCAGGTCCGGATGGTATCATCAACAAAGCCCTGCAGGCGGGATTAGCCCAGCTTGCAACTCACCTGACGAGGATCTTCAACCAGAGCCTGCACCTAGGATACTGCCCGGCCCACTTTCGCGAGTCGACTACGGTCGTCTTACGCAAGCCGGGCAAAGACGACTACACGGCACCGAAGTCGTACAGGCCCATCGCATTGATGAACACCACAGGCAAAATCATGGACGCAGTCATAGCACGGCGACTCAGCTACCTAGCCGAGACCTATCACGTCCTACCGCCGACACACATGGGCGGCAGGAAGATGCGCTCGACTGAGCACGCTCTTCACGCCGTGACCCATAAGATATACGAAGCATGGAGCCACAACACTGGACGGGTGGCGAGTCTCTTGCTGCTCGATGTCTCCGGAGCCTTCGATAACGTCTCACACACACGCCTGCTTCACGATCTGCGGAAGAGACGAGTAGACGAGAAAACAGTAAAGTGGATCGCAAGCTTCCTCAGCAACAGACACACCAGCATCGCAATCGACGGCTTCCGGTCGATAGCATACCAGATCAACACGGGTATACCCCAGGGCTCGCCGCTATCGCCTATCCTCTACCTCTTCTACAACGCCGATCTGATAGATGAATGCAACCAAGCGCCAGACGCCATGTCCACAGGCTACATTGACGTCGGCATCCTTGCGTGGGGCCAGACGACAGAGCAGACATGTGAGACACTGGGCAAAATCCTTGAGAAAGCACAACGATGGGCCAGCACACACGCATCGGTCTTCGCCCCAAACAAGTTCCAACTCACCCACTTTACAAGATCACGCAAGCGCATTAACACAGAGGCCTTAATTCATACCGCGTGGGGCGAGATACGGCCCGAAGCAACATGCAAAAACCTGGGCTTAACGATGGACGCGAAACTGCACTGGAAGCAACACACCGAGGAGATCAGGCGCCTACATCCTCGCGGACATCGCGCGACAGGTCCGGGAGCTCCAGGACAACGGACGGACAGTGACCGTCCGATGGATACCGGCCCACGTCGGCATACCCGGGAACGAGGCCGTCGATAAAGCGGCCAAGGAAGCCACCGGATGGAGAGAAGACGGCCGCAGAAGCTTGCCGGCAGACGCGCCTCCCCAGCTGTTCACTATAAGGTCGACTGTGAAAAGATGGTGCAGCATACAAGCCGAACGGGCATGGATAGCAAAGTGGCGCAAGGACACCAAGGGCCGAGCAACCTACAGACACACTCCAACGCCCATCAAGAAAGTACTCCGGCTCCACGAGGGGCTCACTAAGCGGGAGAGCGCGCTGCTGGTGCAGCTGCGGACAGAGAAGATCGGACTCAACGACTTTCTCTTCGCCCGAAGAGTGCCAGACGTCACCAGCCCGCGCTGCGACTGCGGAGCGAGACGACAGACCGTCGCACATATCTTTCTCCACTGCAGCAAGCACAGGCATCTCCGGGACCGTATCTTCGCCAACCTGTCCGGACGAGACAACATCCGGACCATCCTAGGCACGCCACAGCTAGCCACCAAAGCCATCGAGTATGTAGAGCAGACGCAGATCCTTGGGCAAAATGGGGATCGCAGGCGCGAAGACGATAGCTGAGCGCTGGGGGGAGACTGAAGGTATTGCAGACGCAGAACACGAGGCAACCGTGCCTCTACGAGCCTAGAAGTACAGTGTTCAGTTAGTAGAGCCATTATCTAGATGAGCGGACAGGCAAATGTAGATAGTGGTGGGAGGGAAACGGCAGGCCTCTGGGGACAGATGGTTCTTTGGAATGAAGTGGGGCGGCGCGGATCAACGTCCGCACCGCGTCGGCTGTCTGCCAAGCCTGTCAGCCGGGCATAGCTGCTTTTCGCGGCTGCAACCGTGTAGGATCTAATCAAATCAATCAAATCATGCTCATGGCTTTCGAAAAGCATCTAAGTTACCGCTGCCTACACAACCTTGTTTCCATTTTTTTTCATACCTGCCCAAACTTGCTAGACAGTTGTCTATTCATCGCTCTGGTCTTAGCATAAGATGTTGATGCTGGCTTGCCCAATCTGATTGGCATTGCGTGCTTAGCGGATCACAGTGTTCTGTGATATAAGCTATTCATACTAATTACTTACAGTATTCGAAGATGTCGTGCAGCATCATAGTTCTTGACCTAGAGCGCTCGCGTTCTACAGTCAAATCGGAAATTGTCGTGTGGTTGTGATTATGGGACCGCAGCGGCCTTATCGATAAGCTGCCACGCAACCCGTGCTGATTGCTCGCAGCTGCTCAGCCTTGCCGCCGCACCCTCTTCAGCCTGATCGCTCGTTCATCATGTCGGCCCTCACTCTCATCGTCGCTAATTCGTACACATCTAGAACTGAATTGCTGCTCCTTGCAGTATGGACCCGCTCAGCGTCACAGCCAGCATCATCGCGATTCTCCAGCTCTCAGCTAAGGTCCTCAGCTACCTGAACGACGTTAAGGATGCCTCGAAGGACCGCGTAGCGTGCGCAGTTGAGGCATCAAATCTCCACAACCTTCTCTTCAACCTGAGATTTCGTCTGGAAGAGGGAGACCTTAGTCGACCGTGGTACGTCGCTGTCCGAGCGCTCGCAGTTGAGCATGGGCCGTTGGATCAGTTCAAGCAGGCCCTAGAAATGCTGCAGGCTAAAATGACTGATGGGGGGCGACTGAAGAAAGCTGGTGAGGCGCTGATGTGGAAGTTTAAGAAGGAGGAGATTGCAGGGGTTTTGGCTCGGATGGAGCGGCTGAAGACGCTGGTAGAGATCGCGTTGCAGATGGATCACTTGTAAGCTTCCACACTGGCACTGCAGAGCAACATAGCTTATACATACAAGCAAACTTTCGCAAGCTATCAAAGACGACACCAACTTCGTTCGTGCGCATGTACCCATCATCCAGTCCGGGGTAGACATAATTCGACAGGGTCAAGACTCGGCAAAGCACCGCAGGCTTGTAGAATGGTTATCGACTTCAGACTACCCCGCTCAGCAATCGGATATCATAAAGCGCAGGCAGGAAGGGACAGGCCAGTGGTTTCTGGATGCGCCTGAGCTAAGACATTGGCTCGACGAGAGCAACGCTACGCTCTTTTGCCCAGGTATCCCAGGAGCTGGCAAGACTATGATCGCAGCTATTGCAATTGATCATCTGCTGAATACAGCACAGAACAGCTTACATGGGGTTGCCTACGTGTACTGCAACTACAAAGCTCGAGAGGAGCAAGACGTTTCGAGCCTACTGGCAGCCATCCTCAAGCAGCTAGTTCAGGGTCGATTGTCGACGGTAGATCACATAGAACGGTTGTATCGGAAACATGCCGACCGGGGAACTAAGCCATCACTTGACGAGGTATACAGCGCGCTCCGAGACGTGCTTGCACATTATTCTTCTGCACATATAGTGATCGATGCACTAGACGAATGCCAGGATGCTACTCGCCGCCAGTTCCTGGCCAAACTCCGAGATCTCCAAGCAACCCGGGACATTCGCCTGCTGGCCACCTCGCGTTTCATACCAAACATTGAGGACGCCTTCAGAGAAGCGCTGAGACTCGAGGTGCAGGCTAGCAGAGAGGACGTCAAGCGTTTCGTGGCCGGCCAGACATACCAACTACCTGCATGCATACAGCGCAGCATAGTGCTGCAGGAAATGGTGCAGGAAAAGATAACAGATGCGGTGGACGGCATGTGAGCCTCTCATTGAACTTAGGTAATGATGCGCACTTACGCGATCCTAGGTTTCTTCTTGCTCGTCTGCACACAGACTCGCTGCTAGACAAGAGGACAGCAAAAGACGTGAAAACGACCCTCGCCAAACTCACGAAAGGTGCAGCCGCACTTGATTTCGCGTACAGAGAGGCTCTTCAGAGGATCGACGGTCAGCTAGGGGGTGACCGCGAACTGGCTAGAAAGGTCCTGTCTTGGATTACGCTCGCTGAACGGCCGCTTACCACCGCTGAGATCTGCTGCGCCCTGGCAGTTGAGCCCGGCGAAGATGAGATAGACCCAGAGAACGTACTTACTCCAGGGGATCTAGTGTCTGTATGTGCTGGTCTTGTTGTTATTGATCAAGAGAGCGCCGTCATCCGTCTCGTGCACTACACTACACAGGAATACTTCGAGCGAATTGGAGACGTATGGAACCAAGGCGGACAGCTGAATATCACTACCACATGCCTTACCTATCTGGGTTTCGGCACTTTCCAAAGCGGTAGCTGCTCTACCGACGAGGAGTTTGAGGCAAGACTGCAGCAAAATCAATTCCTGGACTATGCGGCTAAGCACTTGGGAAGCCATGTCAGAACAGTCGAAACAGAGATTACCGATCGTACCTGTGAATTGCTACAGGGGAAGTCTTTCCCATGTGTCGCACAGGCTTTATGGGTCCCTAACTACAAGTACGGAGGGTATAGTACAGCTTATCCTGTTCGTACAGCCTTGCACTACACATCGCAGTTTGGACTCCCTGGCATAACTGAGAAGGTGTTGGCTACTGTAAATGTGCCTATTGTAGAGGCGGTAAACGCTAAAGATAGCTGGGGATACGCTCCTTTGAATTCTGCAGCAGAGAATGGCCAACTTGAGATGGTGCAATTGCTGCTCGGTAAGGGCGCCGAGATCAATGCGCAAGGTGGATACTACGGCAACGCACTGTACGTAGCTTCAGCTAGAGGCCATGAGCTGGTAGTCAAGATGTTACTCGACGCGGGCGCCGACGTCAACGCGCAGGGTGGAGTCTACGGCAACGCACTGCAGGCAGCGTCGTACGAAGGCCACGAGCAGGTGGTGAAGACGCTGCTCGACAAGGGCGCCGATGTCAACGCGCAGGGTGGACACTACGGCAACGCACTGCAGGCAGCGTCGTACGAAGGCCAAGAGCAGGTGGTCAAGACGCTGCTCGACGCGGGCGCCGACGTCAACGTGGGCGCCAACGTCAACGCGCAGGGTGGACACTACGGCAACGCACTGTACCTAGCTTCAGCTAGAGGCCACGAGCAGGTGGTCAAGACGCTGCTCGACGCGGGCGCCGACGTCAACGCGCAGGGTGGAGAGTACTGCCACGCGGAGAATGGAGATTACGACAATGCACTGCAGGCAGCTTCAGCTGGAGGCCACGAGCAGGTGGTCAAGACGTTGCTGGACAGGGGCGCCGACGTCAACGCGCAGAGTGGAGAGTACGGCAACGCACTGCAGGCAGCGTCGTACGGAGGCCAAGAGGACGTAGTCAAGATGCTACTCGACGCGGGCGCCGATGTCAACGCGCAGGGTGGAGACTTTTGCAACGCACTGCAGGCAGCTTTAGATGAAGGTCACGAGCAGGTGGTGAAGACGCTGCTCGACGCGGGCGCCGATGTTAACACGCAGGGTGGATACTTTGGCAACGCACTGCAGGCAACCTCAGCTGAAGGCCACGAGCGGTTAGTCAAGATCTTGCTCGACAAGGGTGCTGAGGTCAACGCGCAGGGTGGACACTACGGGAACGCACTGCAGGCAGCTTCAGCGAAAGGCCACGAGCGGTTAGTCAAGATGCTGCTCGATAAGGGCGCCGACATCAACGCGCAGGGTGGAGAGTACGGCAACGCACTGCAGGCAGCGTCGTACGGAGGCCACGAGCGGGTAGTCAAGATGCTGCTCGATAAGGGTGCTGAGGTCAACGCGCAGGGTGGACACTACGGGAACGCACTGCAGGCAACTTCAGGGAAAGGCCACGAGCAGGTGGTGAAGATGCTACTTGACAAGGGCGCCGACGTCAACGCGCAGGGTGGAGAGTACGGCAACGCACTGCAGGCAGCGTCGTACGGAGGCCATGAGCGGGTAGTCAAGATGCTGCTCGATAAGGGTGCTGAGGTCAACGCGCAGGGTGGACACTACGGGAACGCACTGCAGGCAACTTCAGGGAAAGGCCACGAGCAGGTGGTGAAGATGCTGCTTGACAAGGGCGCCGACGTCAACGCGCAGGGTGGACACTACGGGAACGCACTGCAGGCAGCTTCAGCGAAAGGCCACGAGCAGGTGGTGAAGATGCTACTTGACAAGGGCGCCGACGTCAACGCGCAGGGTGGACACTTTGGCAACGCACTGCAGGCAGCTTCAGCGAAAGGCCACGAGCGGTTAGTCAAGATGCTGCTCGATAAGGGCTCCGACATCAACGCGCAGGGTGGAGAGTACGGCAACGCACTGCAGGCAGCGTCGTACGGAGGCCACGAGCGGGTAGTCAAGATGCTGCTCGATAAGGGTGCTGAGGTCAACGCGCAGGGTGGACACTACGGGAACGCACTGCAGGCAACTTCAGGGAAAGGCCACGAGCAGGTGGTGAAGATGCTGCTCGACGCGGGCGCCGAGATCAACGCGCAGGGTGGAGAGTACGGCAACGCACTGCAGGCAGCTTCAGTTGAAGGCTACGAGCAGATAGTCAAGATGCTGCTCGACAAAGGCGCCGAGGTTAACGTGCAAGGTGGAGTCTACGGCAACGCACTCCAGGCGGCTTCAGTTGAAGGCTACGAGCAGATAGTCAAGATGCTGCTCGACAAAGGCGCCGATGTCAACGCGCAGGGTAGAGTCTACGGCAACGCACTGTGCGCAGCTTCATCTAGAGGCCAAGAGCAGGTGGTGAAGATGCTGCTCGACAACGGCGCTGAAGTCAACGCGCAGGGTGGAGTCTACAGCAACGCACTCCAGGCAGCTTCAGCTGAAGGCTACGAGCAGATAGTCAAGATGCTGCTCGACAAAGGCGCCGATGTCAACGCGCAGGGTAGAGTCTACGGCAACGCACTGCAGGCAGCTTCAGTTGAAGGCTACGAGCAGATAGTCAAGATGCTGCTCGACAAAGGCGCCGAGGTTAACGTGCAAGGTGGAGTCTACGGCAACGCACTCCAGGCAGCTTCAGCTGAAGGCTACGAGCAGATAGTCAAGATGCTGCTCGACAAAGGCGCCGATGTCAACGCGCAGGGTAGAGTCTACGGCAACGCACTGCAGGCAGCGTCGTACGAAGGCCAAGAGCAGGTGGTCAAGACGCTGCTCGACGCGGGCGCCGACGTCAACGTGGGCGCCAACGTCAACGCGCAGGGTGGACACTACGGCAACGCACTGTACCTAGCTTCAGCTAGAGGCCACGAGCAGGTAGTCAAGATGCTGCTTAATGCAGGTGCTCATCTACCCCAGGAAGCTGATCCTGTGTTAAGACCGGACTAGCTTTGCTCAGGCACCCAGAAAGCACTTTTAGTCTGCGTAGGAGAAAGCATGGGACACTAAGGCACGAGGAATCAAACCTTTGTACGCCGCGGTAGATACTTTTAGAAAGCCGTCAATACGCTACAAGTATTCCCGAGATGTAAGTTAGTACAAGTCAGGGCTGGCGTGATTTGTCCCCGTTTTGAGATTTGTCCCCCGCCGAAGTACCGAATTGCTTTGCATCCACACAACTTAACGCCAGCAAAGGTGCAAGTAGATTTTTAAACGTTATAAATCACTTTAGAGCCTCGCAAAGCTTCCCTAAGAATTTAAAGCTAAAGATTAGCCTGTGTTGTGGTTCAATTGCGTGTTGAAGTTGGTGACATTTTCGAAGAAATCGCCAACTTCAACTCCATTTAGCTCGTTCCCATCGCAGTCAGAAGTTACAAAATGCAGGCGAGGGGTACTTTAGTGTATGCAAAACGTATTCTAAGCTTCGAAGATAAAAATTACACTTAGAGATGCAGTGGAGTTGCAATGCGGAGCGCAAAAGTTGCCATTTCCGGTACTTCGGCGGGGGACAAATCACGCCAGCCATAAGTCAGCGCTGAATTTATTACGGTAAAATACAAGCCGCCTATAGCGGGCGCTAATGCAGGCTCGTAGCGTCAAATTGCAATAGCGCGATCCGCCAGCTCGGGTTTGTTTGCAGGGGTCACCTCCTCCGCTCTACGGCGCTCCCGGCATACGCGGTCCTACGTTCGAGTGATCTCTAAAGCCTGTGTACACGATCTTCTTAAATCGGTCTTCTACCCTAGCGCCCCGATTTCTGGAGAGATTCTCGAGTTGACGAGTAGACAGGGGGTAATCGCTAGAAGGTTCTTAGACGGCGTTGATGAGACGATCCACAGCATAACTGACACACCAGGGATCGTGGTCGGAGCCTGTCGGCCTTGAGGATGAGTACTAGATTAACCTTGCGTGTGAACGACAGTTCTACAAATTCGAAGATTCAAGGCGCCGAAGCTCCGAATCGCCAATCTGTCTCGCGACATAGTGTGTCTCCTCACCTAGGGACGCACCTTAATAGCAGGAGGCCATTCGTTCCAGCTCTCTCCCGAGTTGCAGCGAAGTACCTAAGGTGTCTATACTCGTGAGCTTTGACACCATATTGGCGCATGCTGAGATCAACGAAGATGACATTGTAGAGATGCAGCAGCAACTTGTCACTTTCACAATACTTGCACGTGCACTAAATAGCAAGAATATATTTGACTAAGGAAGCGCAATTCTGTGTATTGCATTAAAGTGGTCCCGCAAGTCCTTTTTACTAAAGTCCTGGTCCGTACACGAGTAATGAGGGCATTTCCTACGACCCTTGTCAAACTGCCTGTTGATGTGATCTTCTATGTGCTCGGCATAGTGGCCCGCATTTTCCATCTGTACGAATCGGCCCTGCATCATGCAGAATGGACAGCGACGAGGCGCCACCAGAATTCTCTCTGCAGTAATAGGACCATAAATAATGTTGGGACCTCTAGCGTGCTGTACAGCATGTCTCTCCCAGTCGAGATCACTAGAAATCCAGACTCCACACTCGATGCAGAATCTAGCCCGTGTTAGTATCGTCATGTAGGTAAAGACATCATGTTCGATAACAAGATGTGCGTGAAGATCAGTCAACTTGCTGGCTTTGTAGTTGCATAGGCCCCATTGGCAGTAAACAACATCAGCCGTAACGTAATCGCTCATGTGACTTGCCGCCGCTTCTGCATTGTTAAGGTTACCAGAACTGCAAGAGGTCCACATGCATCTCCATCGCCTCTCCTTCAGGGCTGTGGTGAGCTGTTCCTCCATCTCATAGTTCTTGTTCTTTTGTAAACACTTAAGCAAGTGTGCCTTCATCGGAATTCTAAATACGATGAGCCTAATCGTTATGCGTATGTAAATGAGTCTGCAGGTAAGGCTTACCGTTTCAGCCGAGCATCACACCACGGACAGCCCCCAGAGGCACTAGGCAACGCATCTGCATAATACGGCTCATATGCGACGGATTCGGCGGCCTTAGCGAAAGGGTACAGTATGTCGGGAATCGCGTGGTATGCGGCATATGACCCATATAGATAAGATATTATCATTAACCGTGTAATGTCATATTTGAGTTGAACATCTAACACATACGGCAGTGGATAGGGTGATTTGAGGCTCGCGGGTGTGCGAAAGGTCTTCGTGTCTAGGGGCGTGACCGGTTCAGAGGCTAGTATCACAGAAAAGCACTTTGCTTGTCCACGCCCAATCAAAAACGTCTCGGCGTCAACGTAACCGGCTGCAGTCTTCCGTCACTTTTCCCGCTAAGTCGCATTCCTGATGTCCCGAAGCATGGTTGCAAAAGTTTCTTCGTGTCCTGCTCGGTCCAACTGAGCCTGCATCATTGTGTAGAGTACTGATGGCTTTATACTACAAGATAAGATCACTCTGGATTTATTACCGGTTCTCCGAAGTATCAGCAGATGTGATACATCCTGTTTGTAGGGAAGAAGCAACCACCCAGAGTGTTAGAGGCCACGAAACAACGATGCTATGTCGCTGGTGCGATCAATGCCGTCAATAACACCATCGGCAATAGCCATCGAAAGAAACAGAGTAACGGGGCACATGTGGCGCTTCGTAGGCTCATCAATCAAGATCATTGTTTTTCTTAGTAAGTGTTAGCTTTACTAGAGGATCGAAAGGCGACTCCTAAATTACCCGCTCCACTTGCGGTTCGCCCGCGCATTTCCATCCCGATTATCCAGGCGGATAAGAAGCATTGCTCGAGTGGTGTTTTCAAACCGAGTAAGAAAGATCCTCGTATCGCTGTAGTACAGTCCTTCTTTGAGAGCGACATTAGGATGTAGTCCCAAATGGAATACCAACAGGATACTGAAGGCGACTTAGAGACGATAACGTGGGTGATCGAAACTGTAAGTATCTCGAGCCCAGATGAATGAAAACAGGTCGTGTAAATCAGCCTCGAGCAGTTGCGGTTTTAGTGGCTGGAACTCGTGGGCATGGTAGGACGCTGGAAAGCAGAACTTGGAAGCAAGATCGGGGGTAGTACACATTGTATTGAGTCGATGTATCAGTACTCTACCTCCCCCTCTCCCCACCCAAAGGGCATATGTAGTCGCGCACTGCGCTATAGCCGTGCGGCGTTGTGATGCCTACACAGACTCCGGGTTCGGGAAACGGAACCCTCACCAACACTGCGCCGCAACCACCACCACTAACAGTTCACCCATTCCTGTAACTTGAGGTCGCGTTCACCGATTTGTGTTACTATCGTGCCACACAGCGAGTTGATGATGTATATCAAACCAGCGTGAAGGCTGATAAGAATGGCGGGAACGCATGATAGAACTCGAGCTAAGCTCAGCAGGAGTGCACTGCTGAACGCGTCCATTTTGACTGGCACATTCATCGTAGGCGGATTTCGTGATAGGCAGGGTGTCGCAAATGAAGTACCTGAGAAGGAGTAACTTAGTATAGCTACCCACTCGCTGCTACAGCAACACTAACAATTTTAAGGCCGTATCTGATCTGAACGCTTCGTCTGCTGAGCATTTCTCAATTTAAAAAAGTGATGTAGAATCTATACTAGGTATAAATACTGAGTTGCATCGTAACATGACAAGATCTCTGTCCAGAGAATGCCCTGCGACATCAGCCTCTCATCTGCAGCCTAGCTCCCATCTTTGCAGACCATGCGGGTGAATGGTCCTCTCTACAGTACCTCACGGACTCACTGCATCCATGCTGGACTTGCAATGTACCTTCTTGATGCGTCCTTTTCCTCGCAGACTGTAGTTGCAGGGGCTACGTCTTGTTCAAGAGCAGCTGTACTATCTGTGTCTCAATGCCGTTTAGTTAGTACCATTACATCCTTTCAAGGATGGTTTACGCGCGCTCTTGACACGAGCAGCCTGGCAAACTACCGTCACTGAATATCTAAACAAAGTACCTGACTAAAGTTACTGGCTCGAGCGCAAAAGCTAGAAGACGATGGGCTGAGTGCCCCGTGTTCGTGGCGTCAATCTAGAAGAAACTTAAGCGCTGGATCGCTGCTTTATCAGCAACGCCTACGCGCTAGTGCATGGCGGAGCAAGCCACCAATACAGGAATGTGTGCTAATAGTCCGCATACAGAAAAGGGGGTTACTGCATACAGGAAAGAGGCTTACTGCATACAGGAAAATTAAGGGACTTTGTGACAGTCGCATGAGTGAAAGCTAGGCTTCCCGTCCGCTCAGCCATATACAAGCAGTGTACCGGCGGATTAGTAGTTAGGTGGGTGACCACTAGCGAATCCCCGCTGTTGTATGTTTTTGCTTATCGATCCGCATTTTACATCAGTCGTCGTACGAACCTCTTAGTGATCGCGAAGCAATTATTTAACACGCAGGACTAGCCTAATAAACTATAGTTTTAGTAAAGCAAATGTAACTACATCTATAGGCAATTCTCACCTGGTTCAGACCATGCGTCTACGTGCATCTGGCCTACTGCGACCCTCTCGTACGGCACGCCCACTAAAGAAACAAGCGTAACGTTGTAAGCGCACAATTCTGCATCACGGAAGGTCTGGCCGTAGAGCTTCTTATTCGAATGATTTACTTCATCTAGACGATGGGCCATGCTCTTTGGCATAGTTGTTTACATCACGGCAGTTGTTTATACAGTATTTTAGCGGTGGACCTGCCTTACTGTGAGGGGTAGTTATAGGCAATAGTATTTGCTTCACACTACAAGAGAATAGTGGGGGAAAGCTCTGTATTACTACACTAGGTGGGGAGGTCGAGAGAATAATTCTTGCCCATCTCCTAACGCGCGGGGCGCTGGTAATGAGCAGGTTCAGAGGCCAAGGCGCGAGCGAGAGAAGCAAACATGTTGGGACCATAATCGTCCTCCTCGCTCCGCCTCTGCCGTCCCGTGTTACACTTACTAGTAAGCACGTCTACAGAAATAAAAGGGTTTTAAGGGTGT